GGACGCACCCCTGAAAGTCCGCCCACCTGGAATGTTTGTGTCAAAATCGAAAACAAAAAATGAGGGAGCGCAAACGAGAAGAGCTGCAGCGAGAGCAAGGGCTGTTTCTGAATATTTGAGGGCCCTGAGCAAAATTGAACACAGGGGCCCCCGAAAAACAACTTTCGCCCCTACTGGACCAATGGCCCCATTCATATCCCTGAATGACTTAATGGCATATTGCAATCACTATAATAAAAAATAAAATGCATTTTATTTATTAATAGCCTGCAAATATAAATAATCCACAGTAAACACACAATTTCAGTGTGTGTGCGAAAAACAGCTTGTGCCAATTGCGACTAACAAATTAAACTTTAAGAAAGGTTTATTTTCACATTGACCAAATATCATGCATGTGGTGATTGGTTACTTAAAACATTCTTGACATAGTTTCTTCATTTTTCCTGATCATAATAAATATCTACTCCATAAACTAATTCCCCCATTACAATTCCTCAAACTGTATATGTTGAAGACCATTTAAAAAATCATTTGTCCCCACCACTTTCAAAACAAGGTGACGCTCTTGCTGGTAAATATGTCTTAATAAGTTTGCTATATTATAACAAATACTTTAATATACCAGCATCCCTTGTGTCCTTTACGGTTACTTTTTTACTCCACTACAGTTATTTTAACACTCACAGTTAGTTACTATATCAAAACACATGATACACAGTATTTTTTGTATCTTAATTTGGTCCACACTTACAAACTATAAAAGTAAAATGCTCTTACATGTATAAAAACAGGAAAACATTATCTATTCTGCATAACAAATACTTTTACTTTTGATACTTGAAGTACGTTTAAGTGTTCAATTCTTCTGTACTTAATGTTATATTGAACTGGGCCATTGTGCAGAATGAGTAATTTTTGGTGCTTTAAGTACATTTTGACGCTAATATTTTACTTTTACTTAAATACAATTGGAAAATCAGGACTTTTACTTGTAGTGGAGTATTTAAAGTCCATATTGTTTGTACTTTTAATAAAGTAAAGGATCTGAGTACATTCTTCCATCACTGAGTGCATACCCAGGAGTCATTTGGTCCGGGGCGTGTCTGCACCACTTTTTGAAACGGCCAGTTTAGTCCCCACCACTTTTAAAACTATAATTTGATTAATGTTCTAAAAAATACAGCGATCACAGAAATGTAATAAATGCGAACGCTTTGAGAAAGGTTTATTTGCAAAAGACAACATTTATGTTATACTCTATAGAACAGTTTGTCCAGTCAAACTTGCTGGCTGTTTTTCTGGGGACCCATGTGGTGCAATTTGGACATGAAACACATTGAATATTAGTGACCATAGAATAGAAAATAGGAAAGCACATTTTTCCCGCTGTTTGAACTGTAGAGCTTGGCCTGATGATGGAAGGGCACAGAAAGCTTTTTCCCCTTTGAGTCTTTAGAATAGCTCTTCATATTGATAAATAAAATCTGCTGTGCTAAAACTATAAGAACTTGTGCTAGAGGGCTCTAACCAGCGTTTCAGTTCCAGCAAGAGAAAATAATGGCCCATCCTACCATAGCTAGGGATCTGTCTACTAATTTTAGGCACTGGTTAAGTAAGGGATAATGTGCAGCGAGGCGGTCATTATGGGGAAAAGAACACCCGACAGGCTCTTCAGGGATCCCGACGCGAAGAGTTAATAACTACTGTTAAGCCTGAGAGACCCCGGTACCGGGGCCCTCCCGCAACATCTTGCAGGAAACAGTGTCTGAGGGCATGTTCATTTAATAAACTATGAATGTTTTATATCCATGTAACGGGAAGAAACTCATCTAACTGATAATTTTTTTTTTTTTTTTCAAAAAACCCCCCACAATGCTAACGCTGAGCCTCTGAATTAGCAACGAGCGAAAAATGCTAACAGATTTACTGCACCGAAACTCACTCACAAAACCTTATTATTTATCCTTTCTGCACATTCAACCCATCGATCTGATCGTGAGATGATACAGAATCGATGGGTACATACATTATCACTCTATGATACGAACTTGCGACTTTATAAACAAAAACAGACATCAAAACATGTGGCGCTAGGTAGCTAAAAACACTAACATGGCTTACCTGTGTCGTAGTCTGGTCAAAAGTGGTCTTCAATGGCATTAAAACGATAAAAACGCTGCTGAAGTTAATCCATAGGTTAATCCAATGTGTCTGTGTCCCTTTGAAATGATTTCTGATAATCCATAAGCAATAAAACTGCTTTTCCGTTTCCAGATGTCAGAGCAAGAAATAGGTTCGCTCTGATGCAAACCCCCACCTTTTTTTTGTACCATGTGTGTGAGAGGGGAAATTCCCCTTCGATTCTATTGGCTCTAACTGTCAGAAAGAGATGTCAATCACCAAAATCGACCAATGGGTTCCAGAGAAACGGTAAAACCCCCATTTCCACCCAAATCACCTCAGAGGTGGAGTTTTTTTGCTAAATCTCTCTAAAAAGGTCAAATGTCACTTGTTTTGCATCAATCTTGATACAGGGTACTTATTATATGTTGTACTTTGGATTCCTAAAGCTTTTAGTCTACCTTACCATCATCCAAGGGTAGTTTTCACTATACTGTAAGTAAAAAAGAATTTTTGGACGGACACTATAATTTACAGTGAATTTTCTTTAAAATAAAAAACATCTATATTGATTCTACATCCAACTCACAGGTTTATCATTACTTTGAGAAAAAAGATTATTAATTTAACTGTTTTAGAAGGGAAGATATGGTCATTTGTTCTGGGAATGTCATTTTCGAGCCTGATACCTGAAAAACAGGCTCAGGCTTAACAGGTTAACGTCACTTCGTTTGACAATCTGTGTGACCTGAGGATTTTGTAGCTGTTCAAAAGTGTTCTTCCAGTGTTGCAACATACATAACAGAACAGAAAGTCAATACTGCTGCTGATGCTGCCATGTCAGCTGATGAGTTCAGCAGTTTCAGAGAGCGATCTGGGCCCTCAATGATTTGGCTCTGATGCTGTTTTGAAGGAAGAGTGTCCTGTGCTAAGGGCCAAAACCAAGGGAGTGAGAGCTTGCTGCACATGCTGCCCCTGTCAGAGACTGCTGTTTGGCTCAGGTGCTTACATCTTGTGAAATGGATGATTTGGCATTGTATGCTTCTTTCATTTGAGATGTTTTTTTGTCACTGGTGGAAAGTGATGTAAAAGACTGATACTGATGTTGTGTTCACAGTCGAGGATGGGGTTGAACAACTCTGTTCCTGAGAAAAAGATTATTCTTGACTGTACCCTGGTTAAGGGCGTGGTAGCTGTTGGTGTGTTTCTGACATTGCAAACTGAGGGTGTACATTTTATTTTGTGCAATGTCTTGGCTGATTTTGTGTACAGTATGTCATAAACTCCAGGTTAGCGGAGGTTAGAGGTCACCTGATCCTGCGTGATGACACAGGCTATAGCCAAATCAGACCTTGATTTTCTGCCAGTCAAGAACACTGTTGACGTTGTTATGGTGGTCCCATCTCTGTCTGAGCTTCCTTTATCACTGTCACATAATAAAGCAGTACAGGAGCAACAAAGTGATTATTCTTTGAAATACAATTTTGAGTTTTGCCTAACGTAGTGCTTGTTCAGAAAATGAGTTCCTGTGGATAAAAGTGGTGTGACTGATGTTTATGACAGGTGTGGTAACATTGGTGTCGTCACTAGAAATAGGAGGAGAAGCTTGTTTTTTGCCATGTATTTCAGACAGAAACATAACAAAGACTGAAATGCCATTTTGTTTGAGCAGATAAGCCAGGCAGACATTGGATGTTGCTGCTGGTTAATGCTGTACTTGAATCTCCATGTGCAGATCAGATTGAGCTCTGAAAGTCATTCATACAAAGTGACACAGCAGGGATCTTCCAGTTGGGACTCATCGTAACAAACACAATGTCAAAAAAAGATTTAGAAGAATAATAAAAGGCAAGGGTGGATGATATGTTGTCAAATAAAGGTTTTCATCGTAACATTAATGAAGAGCTGGGATTTTTTTTTTTTTTTTTTTTAAGGAACGCTGCTCTGCCCAGCACTTTCCCAGCATCTGAACACCCAGGTAAAGTTCTCCAGCATTGCTTTCCAACTGCTAGCTAAAGGAATATTCTACAGCCATGAAGTTAGCATCAATCTGACCCCAGAGACCAAAGCTAGCAAGGCTAGTCTCTGTTCATCAAAACAGGATGTCCAGAAAGTCTTCACCTTTCACCTTGTGTGTACTCTCCCTTTAGTTAAAAAACACAACACTATAGAACTTGTCTAGCAGCTTCCATTTAGCCTGCGGCAGATAAACACCAACTCCTGTCGATGACTAGAATGACTGACAGGTTGTTAGAGCCTAAAAAAGAAAGTGCACTTTATATTTATTCGGAGAAACAGAGTGAGATGCATTTTGCACAATGCTTTTATATTTTCACATTTTAATTAATATTTGAATATTGTCAACTATATTTTAAAAGTAAATGGCCAAATGGCTTTAGCATTTGTGTTTTTTGAATTTTCAGAGAATTGTTATATAAAAAATGTTGATTATTCCATTCCTTAAAAATTAGGTTTTATTATTTATATTACATTTTCATTTTGCAATGAAATTAATATTTGAATATTGTCAACCGTAAAGCAGGGTTGACCTTTCACAAATGGCTTGTCCATGTTTATTTCATATCGTCAGCAAGCCATAGTAAAAATGAAAATGTCATTATTACATTTTTATTTAATTCTGACACAATTAGCGCATATTTTAGAGGTAAATAAAAGCTATTATGATTGTGCGTTTTACATTTTTATTTCAATAATTCTTCCAGGTGATACACAACTCCCTGGCTGCAGACTATTTTAACAACTATGTCCAGTTACTGTAAATATGAAACATTCATATCTGAACCAGCTTTGCACGTACTTAGAAATAAACATCTAATAAAGTGAATATGACTTAAAAAAGACAAAAAGAAAGAAAATGTACTTTTTTTTCTCCTTTTATTGTTTACAAAATACCAACATAAATACATAAGAGGCTGTGTGATATTGATGTGTGTATGCGTGTGTGAAACAGAGGGGCAGGCAGAAAGAAGACCACTGTGCCGAATGCCCCCCCCCCCCCCGTTACACACACACAGTGGCTTTGTACTTCACATACAGTAGACAGCGAAGACATGTCAGACTAAGAAAATAAAAATCACATAAAAGAAAATGATAAAATACTGCGATATATAAAAGCAGTTAAATCGAAGAAGATGGTGAGGAGGAGGACAGAAGGACCATCTAGAGACAGACAGGATTTTTTTTTTTTTTTTTAGAGTGCAGGTTTTCCCCACAATGAAAGTGCTTGTTGAGTTTCAGCAGAGTCAAACCGAACAGCTCTGGGAAATCAGCCCTGTAGATTTGACCTTTCTTCATCACCTTAATAAATACTTGTGATAAAGGAGATAAAAGTAAAAAAATGGCAGCCCCCTCCTCTCATCAGCATTTATCACCCTCCATTCACACATGCACTCGGACCATGCTCCTTGTAGTGTGTCCACACTCTCATTGGAAACCCTTTTTATACTTTAAGCTCTATGATCTGTACACCAAGGCATTTTTAGTTGCAAACAATCATCCATTTCAAGAGCAGAAGCAGTTCCCAAACATGTTTTTGTTACAGTGAAGATGCTTTTAGGATACAAGGCAGGGAGGCGTTAAAACACAGAGGAATAGAGGGAATGTGACACACGCTGCAGAGTTGCTTGGATTAATAAGATCTTTGCTATTTCCTTAGCATTTTACTCTGGCAATAGTACTCTAAAAATCTAAAACGTTCCCCTTTAACTGCAATAAAAACAACCCTAGAAACCCTTAACTTTCTCCAGCGCCTGTCCCCAAAAACCCTTAAAACTAAGGTTGGCTTTGATCATTGGCTAATGTATATATTTATATATAAGTGGTGGAGCGTTACCACTTTAGCACTACCTGAAATGTATATATACATTAACATAAATACAGCCGAGGAGACCACAAAACTGAAAATAACAGGCGGTACGTTGCCATGACAGCAGACATGATTCACCAGATAGGGCGATAAAGAACGGGTTCCTCATCTTAATATGCCGACCAATCAATCTGGGAATTATCTTACGCTGTGTTTAGATTTAGTTTGCAAGACTAAAAGGTGTGTGGCTTAAACACGGAGGGGGGCTAAGAACTACAATTGTCCGATGGCCTGTCAGGTGGAAGAAGAAACAGGAAGTGGTTCACTGATTGGTCAGGGCGGTGCCGAAGGTCTCCTGGGAGGCGTACACCATGTAGAGGAAGCCGTCCTGGTCACGCTCACGCTCGTACACCTCGGAGATGGCGGCCGACACGGAGACCATGCTGTGGCCATTAGCCAGCAGGAAGAAGGCCTGGTTAGAGTTCAGCTGCAGGCGCCTCCTGGGGGGGGAGACCAGGACATGGCAGCGTGAGGAGGGGAAATACAGGGGGACAGGAAAAGAAAGGAGAGTTAACACTAGAACCGCCAGGGGTCGCTGTATACCTAAAACCGCCAACGGGTCAAATGTACCCGCTATTAGAATGCATTGATTTTCAAGGTACAATGTTCTTTTATTTATCATACTAGAACACAGGGTTAAGAGTGAGTTCTGATCGCACAGTGATGAAACTTATACCAATAGAATCTGTGGACTCACAGCTTTGTTTGTGCAGATTGCATGAAGTATAAAAGATCGCTAAAAGTGTCTATCTATCTATCTATCTATCTATAACTATCTATCTATCATCTATCTCTCTCTCTATCTATCTATCTAGCTATCTTAGATAGATAGATAGATAGATTTCCTAATGAAAAGAAAGGAGAGGAAATGAAAAGAAAGGAGAGGATAGGAAAAGAAAGGAGAGGATAGGAAAAGAAAGGAGAGGAAATGAAAAGAAAGGAGAGGAAATGAAAAGAAAGGAAAGGAAATGAAAAGAAAGGAAAGGAAATGAAAAGAAAGGAAAGGAAATGAAAGGAAATGAAAAGAAAGGAGAGGAAATGAAAAGAAAGGAGAGGAAATGAAAAGAAAGGAGGGAATAGTAAAGTAAACGAGAGTACCATACATTTGATGAAAATAAGAGAAAAGGGAGGAAGGTCAAAGGAAGGAAATGAGAGAACAGAGGAAGTGATAACAAATGAAAGGTGAGAACAAACAGGAAGTAAATGACAGGAAAGGGACTAAAGGAGAAATAAATAGAGAAAGAGAAGGAGCAGAGAGTAGAGGACTGAAGTTGTTACCTGATGATCTTGATGAGCTCACTCATGTTGACGTGGTCTGGCACCAGGAACTTGGTCTTGTCCAGGATGGGGAGCTGCTTCTCTCCTTTGTACCTCTCAATGATCACCTACACAACACGCACACACACACACAATACATGAATCACACACACACACACACACACACAATAAATGAATCAATCTCATCTTCTATTCAGAGGGAAATCTGTAGTTCCTCTGCTTGTTTTAGAGCAGAGTCCCTGATCAATAGTGCGAGATAGATGAAGTCACACATATCAGGTGATAAACACTGATCATGGCCCTCTGCCCTGTCCTCGTGAATGGCTCTGCTTGAGCAACGAACATGGAATCTTTCATTGAGTAAGACATGTAATCAGGTTAGAGAGAAGGCCTTTAAAGCAGCACTGTCAGCACAGAGCGCTCCCTCACTGACCGAGGGCACAGTGCTGCTGTAACACTAATCCACTGAGGCCTGCTGCACAGACGGAGGGTATACAATTCAAAACACTCAGTTACTGATCTGAGCCATCCACTGTCTTCCTGTGTAAGCTATAATAATCCTTGTTCAATGTAAGTGATAGGGAGCTGTCTGACATCTTCTGGGAGTTCCTAACTGCTGGACATCAATACAGTGGTGCAGGAATGAGTCCTCAACCCTGAAATGAGTGAGCATTTTGAACACTGCCAGGCTCTCTCGTCACACAGTCAATGGTTTTCTGCAAGTTTCCGGAAATGATGGTTAACCCAAGCTTACAAGATATTTTACATTTTGTTCTACAACATGAAATATGTCAGTAAATACTCTACTGGTGAATATCTGAAGCACTTGTGTTTTAAAAATGGCAGTGCTAACAAGTGACTAAATGAAAGTACTAAACTAAAAAAGGACAATAACACCAATGTTGCGCAAGAACACTTCTGTAAATATCAAAAAACAAAACAATATAAATACAAATGCTCATGTGCAATTATTACTACTTTTACAGTTTATTTACAAACCGTTAACGTTATAGACTCCTTCATTACTTTATTTATTAACATGCTTTTTTAATTCAATATACAAGTCTACTTTTTTCCGATCCCTTTTGCCTTTTATCTGCAGTGTATCTTTGCTGCTGTGATGGCGTACATTTCCCCGCTGCGGGGCGAATAAAGGAATTCTGATACTGATATTCTGATAATGAAATCATGTGATCGTGAGGTAGTTTGTTCAAAGCCTAACATTAGCCTTTTACTTTTGGCACTTGCATTGACACTTATGTGGAGACTATCCTGCTGAAGATAAATAGTCTCTACTATTTTTTAAATCTATATTTTACTTTTAATAAGTAAAAAAAAACACAAATTCTCACCCTGAGAATTTGTGTTTTTATTTATGCTAAAAACTGCTCAATTAAATAAGGATAATTAATATGAATTTCACTGTGTTACATGAAAAAGACATTTGAGCAAGTATTATAAGTGCTTTGCCCTCTGTTTGGCCTGAAAGCCGGGTTGTTTTGTTCAGTGGGGCGGAGCCTGCTCTGAGAGCTATAATCTGTCTGTCATACAGTCTGCTGCCCCCCCCCCCCCTCTCTCTCTCAGGCTCCACTGTGGCCGGCCGATGGATTTGCATTACAGTTACACAGCGCATCTGCCTCTGGTGTCAACATTTACCATGACCACACACACACACACACACACACACACACACACACACACACACACACACACACACACACACACACACACACACACACACACACACACACACACACACACACACACACACACACCACACACACACACACACACACACACACACACACACACACACACACCACACACACACACACACACACACACACACTACACACACACACACACACACACCACACACACACACACACACACACACACACACACACACACACACTACACACCACACACACACACACACACACACACACACACACACCACACACACACACACACACACACACACACACACACACACACACACAACACACACACACACACACACACAACACACACACACACACACACACACACACACACACACACACACACACACACACACACACACACACACAGATTAATCGAGCAGGTGAAACTCGAGGTGTGCCTTTGTTTATTGGTGGTTGCTAGGAGATTCTGCACAGGGAAGCATTTGCAACCGTTTCTCAGGAGGAAAGCTACCGTGGTCACTGCAGTAAAAAAAAAAAAGCCTGCTCACAAAAAAACTATTTACAGAAGTAACTATGAACATGTACTAGAGCATGGGTTCCCAAACCTTTCAGCCCGCGACCCCCAAAATAACAGTGCCACGGGGGAAGCCTCGCTGCGGGGAAATTCTACAGATGGCCAGTCCACCCCTGAAAAATGTCTATGCACACGTTATTATTAATAATAATTAAAAAAAAAATAAGGTTAGGGTTATTTAATTTATAATTTATATATTTTAAATGTTTCATTCATCATCTCGCGACCCCCCGACCCCCTCTTTGGGAACCCCTGTACTAGAGTACTGTGCTTAAATACAACTTTAAGGAACTACTAGGAGGGAAACAGTGAGCTCCACTACATTTAATTATCTGATAGCGTTAGTTACTAGTTATTTTAGAGATTAAGGTATGTAGAGTTCGACTGTAAGAACAACTTTAAAAACCAAGTTTTAGTATTTTTACACTACCAAAATGTCAAGATTTATGATTTTCTTTAAATTATTTGAACCATTTTAATGTATTTTTGTTATAATTTTAAGGTGTTGATAGGACAAAACAAATAATATCAAAGGTGTGACTTTAGGCTACTGGTAATTGTGACAATAATTCTCACTATTTTCTTGATTTTTTATAAACCTTTAACCTTATAAACATCAAAGTATAAAGTAATACTCATATTAATCCATAATGAAAAATAATCATTCCTTGCAGTCTTATACAAAATAGTTAAATATGAGCTCCACCTAAAAATGAATAATTTCTTTACATTAATGCACTAAGTCAAAATAACCTAATGATATAATATATAAAGGTATACCACTCACAGGGGACATTATACTTTAAGTAGATGTTTCTAGTTATACCTGCATAATTTAAGTAACATTTTCAACTTTTTTTGTAACAGAATAATGTAATTGTTTGGTCTAAATACTTCCTCTACCACTGACAAAATATGAAATAAACTTAGAATAACCACCCTCAATGCAACAATAAAATCTCAAAAACAGAAGTCCAGAAGCACAAGGCCTTTTAAGAAATGTGTCTTCTGACAACAAACGACATTTAAACTATTAAAAAGACAGTTCAGAGTACACCCAGGAAACTTGTGGTAACACTTTCCGTTGCAGTACGATTTTCTTGTTCTTACTCGAGTTTCCTGCATGCCGTTTTGCACGTCACCACGTTTGTTTTCTCAAAGTGGCTTGAGAAAAATGTGGCTTTAGTGTATTCACTGTATAAGCTTTGGTGTACAATCAATGATTGCAAGTGCATCAGAACTCACGGGTATCTTGTTGGGGTGCTGCTCTCGGATCAGTCGCACATCTTCTACTCTTTGTTCTGTTGGAGAGAGAAACAGACTCAGGTTAATGCAAAGTAACAGAAACAAAGATAAGCAGGTCAGTAGAGGCTAGCACTGATGAAGACAGATGAAATCATAGACAAAGCAGATGCAAAGTCATGAACAGAGAACACAAATACTCAGGTGTAAACAAACCTACAGGCAGGTTATACCAGAAATTCTCTCTCCACCCATGTATGCATTGCATAGAGTACAGAAACACAGACCCCAGTGCTTTGAAATCAATTCATAAAAATTCCTATTACATTCTCAATACTAGAAACATCTGGGGGAATTATTAAATGTTTTACACAGAAAATGTGTGTGGGAGCCTTTGCAGACTATTAACATGCACAAAGACCTATATAACACACTACAGGAAAGGGTAAACCCCAAAAGCACAATAGGGTCCCCACTGGACAGAACTGACTCACTGTTGCCTCTGTGGCTAGTCAGTTAGCATGCTAATTTCAGTTTTCTTTTTCAAAACTCCTGATACAACAATGACCCTTTTTATTCACTAAATGCCCTCAGTCTAAGCTACATAATTTAAAATCATGCTCAAGTGTAAGTATCTCAGCTAAAGAGTTTTTCCTCCACAATGATTACTCAAAAGATCAGGTCAGTAACACGGCTGCTGATTGGATGGATCTGTTAGGCACTAATGAGCTGTGGTAGCCCCTCCTTTCTGAGGTTTAACTCCATTTTAGGTTACAGATAACACCCTGGGCTTACTGCACTTTGTACTCACATCAACAACAACAGTCTCATGGTCAAAAAGGGATCAATCAAAGAACTCGAGCATGAGGAACACATCTTGTGATCATTCCCATCAGTTTTTAAACGTTGACTTAACCTTTGGTAGAAATAGAAAAAATGTTGATTTAGAGAACCAATAAGTCATAGGCAATAAACGCTGCAGGATTTGGATAAAAATGACTAGTTTGGGTTATTTTGACTGATATTGCAATATGATTTACGATATTAGGGATTCCATTTTTATAATAATTTTATAAAATAATTTTTCTCATTATTACTTTTTTTTTTTTAAAGATAAAATTAAAATGATACTGTAAGAAATACAACTTCAAATTTGGCAATTTATTTCTTATTTGAATTTTTTTTTGCGTAGTAGTAGTATTTGATGTATTGGGTCATTGTGGAACCAGTTTTAACTATACAGTACCACAATATGTTTATCCATAGTAATGAATCATGTTTTACTACTGTACTAATCATTTCTAATCGGCAGCCCTGATGTCTGTCAGAGTACTTTGAGTTACTAGCATTTAGACTTGTTACATTCTTAAAAGGTCATTAGTTTGCTAAATGTTAAGAAATATAATTAAATCAACTGTCAAATGTTTATTTTGCTGTAGCCACAAGTTTCATGCCCAACTTGAGGAAATAGGACATTGTTTCATGGCTGCGTGCTAATCAGGATGAGTTCACCGCCCAGGAACAGGCAGCTCTGTGTGCGTCTCATCTGACTCTCTTGACCGCACCCAGCAAGCGACAAACAGCCTTTGACTCATCACTTTTCAGTCATAAAAGAGAACAAACGCTGAAAATGGGAAGCAGTTGTTCTAAAAGCATAAGGGGTATTCCACATAATGTCTTTCGTGTCATGATATGGGAAATAGTCAATACCACTTGGCAAAGCTGGAAGATGTCCTGAGTCATTGTCATGACCTAATATACAGATATGCAACCGGAACTGGTTCACACCCGGATACAGCGTGTCAGTGCAGTGTGTAGTGAACATTAGCAAAAGGGTGAAGCTTTAAAACTGAATTTACCCAAATGTGTGCCCAGATAATACCCAAAATATGATGACAGCTAGTAAAGACTATCACAATATAAAAAAGGAACAAAGTACATTTACTCAAGTACATTTGCTTAAGTACTATATTGACATTATTGTACTTTGCTTCAGAAATGCTACATCTACTCCACTACATTTTTAGAGGCAATTACTGTACTTTTTACACCTTTATATTTATTTTAAACTCATCCTTGTTACTTTTTTACATAGAAAAACACATACTGTAATATGCTTATGGAAAGATGGAGTGCAGTACTACTAATATACAACCCAGTATTTAAGATATAGGTAATTTGGTTTCAGATTTACAAACTACAACTTCAAAATGCTCTTCCATGTATTTGTTTAAAAATATATTTATATATAGGCCTACTGTGAAAAGAGTCGTTCTGCATACTACTTTACACTTTTACTTTTGATACTTTGAGTACATTTAGCTGATAACTGTTTGTAATGCTCTTTCAGGAGTTTTTTTTAATAGAGTATTTTAAAACCATAGTGTTTCTACTTTTACTTAAGTTAAAGAGTTCCATCTCTGATAAACAACCACTAAAATGGAAAACTGTGTTAGCGGTGACGTACACAGCTAAGTTAGTACGCCACTTTGAGCTATGTTGTGATATATAATGATATATTTCCAAATTATTTACTTGTTAAATGTATTTACACTGTGTGTAATATTTATTGGTCATACCTCATTAGGTTTCTGAAGGTATTACACTAATAAAGAGTAATTTAAAGCTTTAGCTTAGCATTCTTTAGCTTGTTTTCAGATACAGTCCAACACACGTGAAGATGTTCTCGTTGCTGTCCGGCCTTCTTCACGTGCTCTGGTTGTGCACATTTGGACCAATAATGAGATGTTAACAGGAAGTCGGCTGCTATTAGTCATACTGGGAATTATTCCACTGCTCATGACAACAGTTTCCATTTTCATAATAAATAAGATTCATATAATTATACTAAAGTACTTGCAGGTTTTTAATTTAAATTCCAATCACTGAGAAGCACCACAGAGTATATGACGTCAGAGAAAGGCAAGTGGAAAAACGATAAACTAATCCGAGTATTTGTAAAAGCACCACAGGCATCGTCTTGACAGGGGAAGCCTAAACTAAACTAGAATCCGCATCGAGGCTGTGGCCTACCCTTCAAACACAAAGACACCAAAAGGTAATCTTCGTCCTTTTAGATAACATTTTGACTGTGTGCCCTTTTTTAAAAGTCCTCTCTTCTCCTATCCACAAACTGTCCCATCCCCCAATCCTGCAGCTCTGTTTTCTCTGCCCTGCGTTTCGACACCACTTTGTTTTTCTCCCACAGCTCGGATGCAAATAAACACACCAACACTCAGGGAGAGACAGGCCTGCACCAAATGGCACTATTACATCTGTTAGCCTAGATACTATACTTAACCCTGTTTATATACGAGTGGAAACCATTTTTATTAAAACTATAACGTCTGCTATATTTTAGGTAAGTTGACACGACCTCTACATATTGTTATGTTTTTCTAATAAGCTGTACGAAGACATACGTGCATTATGCTATCCCCTCTTTCAGTCAAATATATATTTAAACAGTAAACTGAACCAGCTAAACAAAATGAACGCTAATACTCGCCAGTGGGATAATAACCAACAACTATCTGGCCTGTCTAGATAAACGTAATGTAGTTCAGGCTTGCATAGTTTAGATAAACAGCTTCAAACACACAGTATACTGTAACTCAAAAGACAGAGAGCAGAGTGTGTAAAATGCTAAAAGAAGCCGTAATAACACTTACCGAATGTCCTTCTTTGTTTGAAGGTTTTTTCTGAAGGCATATTGCGTCAAAGTCAACCAGTTGGCAGTAGATAAAAACGGAGGTAGCGGCTGTAACAACAATTCAAAAGCTAAAAACGATGTATAAAAGTCTCAGTTGTCAACCGCGCTGGTAGCTTCTTGCTAAAATACAAAGTAAAGGACACTAGTTCACAGACGGTTTGATGTCCTCGCTTCCTTCCTCTCGCTGTGTTGTTATCACCAGGACTAGCTCGAGCAAGCAAAACAAACCTGTCAGCTGACCTCTGACGTCATCTCTCTCTCTCTCTCTCTCTCTCTCTCTCTCTCTCTCTCTCTCTCTCTCTCTCTCTCTCTCTCTCTCTCTCTCTCTCTCTCTCTCTCTCGACATTATGACAATCATGTAATCATTGTACATGAATTACAAAATGTCTTTAAAATAATATAAACATTCAAAGCGAATAATGCATATATACCAACTGTAAAGAATACGTATATTCAGAAGAGTATATAAGAATACACACTATAAAATATACAAAATAAATTAGAATACTCTCTTATATATGAATCTACTAAAGGGACAGAAACATATAGGCATAGTTTGCTATATACATTAAAATTGTGCAGTAGCTTTTCATTCAAGTTAATCGATATCCTGTGAGGTAGTGTAGCTGGCTTCAATATTAAAGGTCACCTCTTATGCAAAATGCACTTTTTGATGTCTTTTATACATTAATATGTGTCCCCGGTGTGTCAGGAGACTCACAAAGTGTCAGAAAATACGACCCTCTCTCTTTTCCTCCTTACCCACATCTCTAGAAACGGGGGTACAACGGAGTTGATCCAGATTTGCTGCGTTCATGACGACATTAGTCAATGGCTGGCTTTACACCACGACCCTATAATCCTTGATGCGGTTTGGAACATAATATGGCGTTTAATCACGGCAGCGTTTAGCTGAGAATCTGGGTAGAATTCTCCTGCATGAGCTCTCCTCTCTTTTTTATTTTTATTTTTTAAAGCTACGGACCCAGAATCAGCACTTCTCTAACAGGGCTGAAATAGAGGGGTATGAGGCATGGCTAGAATGGGTGATCTGTTTGGTATTTTGACCAAAACACTTCATAGACATGTTTTTTATATATCTGAGACCTACAATATATGCCTAACAATTAGGGATGGGAACGATTAATCGAATATTCGAAAAATATTCAGGTATTCGAATATGAGAATATGAGTTATGAATATTTTGATTGTAATTTTTTTTTTTTGAGAGGGGTGCCTAAGTTGATTACATATTATCAAATGGAATAATTCAATGTATACGACAGTGCCATAGTTAAATGTGTTAGGTCTAAATGTGTGTTTCGCTCCGCTCACCGGTCCCTCACAGCAGGTGCTGATCTCTCTCTCTCTCGTCCGGTTATACTTCACTCGCGTTTATGTCCAAATCCATCAGATCTAGCTGGTTCTAGCTAATGATATGGCTGCTGCCCCTCCCTACACGCAGATCACGCAGACTCAAACCTCATCTTATGCCCAAATTCCAGCTGAGAGGGTCTTCTCTACAGCTGGCCTGATTGTGAATCGTCTCCGCACCCGCCTCTCCCCTGAGTAGACATGCTCATATTCTTAAACAAGAATGAGTATTGAATAGCTGCATTCTGTGCATAGGCCCTGTTATAGGTTGTTGATCTCTGTTGTAATATGGGTTACGTTACCCTAACCGGTTATGTTGTTCGTGTATGATCCCTCTTTCATTTAAAAACCAAGTTATGTTTTAAGCATGAAAGCTGTAGGCCTATAGCTGTCAACTGTTCAAACTGTGATCACCAGTTCAATACATTTGACAAATTCGACTTGGTTTCTATACTTATTTGAACATGTATTTTATTTATATTATTATTTTATTTGTTTTAAATGTTTCCCACATTCTTTTTTTTTTTATAGGATATGTACATTTCGGTTAATCGGTTAACCGTTTTTTTGAGGGTCGAATATTTGATAATATATTTGCTTTCAAATTCCCATCCCTAACAATAGTATAATAGGAGACCTTTAATGTGCAGTATGTGCAAATTGTTCATGATTATAGAAAAGGGAGAATCCAAACAAATGATCAGGCAGTGAGTTCTCTGCCACAGAGGGGAGGTGTTGTAAGATCAATTTACATTTAATTGAATTTATTGGCATGACGGTATGGATGAAACATGTTGCCAAACCAAAGAATCACATCTAAGCAATTCACAGCTGTATATATATATATATTGTAATATACATGTTTAATATTGTAATACAATGTGCCATATTTGCCTGTTAACATATTTGTTTCTTTAAATTGACTTTTTACTTTGACTTCTTATACATATTTTAATGTATTTATTTTTACGTTATCCTTTTACTGCCTATTGTTACTTTAACTTCTTGTGTTTTTTTATGTGTTTTATCTGGGTTGTAATGTAAGGCTAATTGAAATGTCTGCATTTTAGTTTATTTATTTTACTACACTCAAAAACTGTTGAACATATCAGAGAGAAAAACTCAGTGGACATTTTAAAAGGACAGCTGAAGACATATTTTCACATTTGTTTTTCTAGCGACTCTCTTTTAATTGGTCTTTTTTATTCTTATTACTTTTGTAGTGTTTTATTTATTTTATATCTTGTAATAAATGATTGTATTCATTCATTTTGTCTTATGTCTTCCTTTGTTTCACTGAGAGGGTTTTCTGTCTTGAACCTTTGAATCATTATTTATTTAATTGTGCTTTTTTATTATCATAACTTTTTTATGTCCTTGTGTTATTTTAATTGTTATATTAGGTTTTGATGTGGCATGTTTGCAAAAGGGTCTTAACGTTGACCTGAAGTGAATTCCTTTTTCTCCGTTTTAATATGTGTTGTTAAAGCACTTTGAGCTGCTAGATAGTGCTCTACATTACAAATAAAGCTGTATTATTATTATTATTATTATTTATAGTTTTTTGTTCATTGATTTGTTCAACCTATAACAACTAAACCGTGTGTGTGTGTGTGTGTGTGTGTGTGTGTGTGTGTGTGTGTGTGTGTGTGTGTGTGTGTGTGTGTGTGTGTGTGTGTGTGTGTGTGTGTGTGTGTGTGTGTGTGTGTGTGTGTGTGTGTGTGTGTGTGTGTGTGTGTGTGTGTGTGTGTGTGTGTGTGTGTGTGTGTGTGTGTGTGTGTGTGCGCGCGTGTGCGTGTGCGACAGACTGTGGAAGTGTGGGTTCATTAGTGTCAGTTAGTATCAAAGAGCAGAGTTTGGTTTAGTTTTCATGGGCTTTCAAATGTGTAGCATTGTGTTACATTTGCTGTAACTATCACTTTATAGCATTAGATAAAGAGGTTTTTCCATGTCTATAACTTTTTTGTATTTTTATTTCCTTGGAAAAATGTTCTTTTCCCACAGCACCATTATTCATTTCACTCGGGGGTTGAAGGTAGTTGTAGTTCAAAGAAGTAAACCAAGAATCTTTCAATTGAAGATACACTACAAGATTACTGTTACTAAAAACCAACGTAATGTGTTTCACATCAAACAATCCTCCTCATCCAAAAATAGGGCCCACTTAACATTTATTTTTAATATACGTCTTCAAACATTATGTATGGGGTTCTGGATAAAAGACAATAAATACAATTATTTGTATTTCAATAAACCATGTATTCAAAGCTCGATTATGATTGAATTACGTTTCAAAAACAACAATATATATATATATATTGCAAAGCCAATTTCTTTTTAGAACATTTTTCTTTCTACAAATCACCACAAAGTAGCACCAAACAAAATAAAATAAAACATTTGCTGTGGCAAAGTGTAACTATATAAAACGCTTAACATAAATATATGTATATCTTAGTTTTGAATGTACTGTAAACCTGATGTTTTAAATTACTGAAAGAATCCTTTTAATAACTGTTGGTCTATGTTATCGTTTCCCTTTTTTAAATGTTTCTTCTTTTTTTTGTGCAGTTCTAATGTCAGTATATTGACAGGTTTTTCATGTGCTTTATATGGCCTGTTTTAAATGTAAAAGTATGACAAAATGAAGGTTCAGTTCTTCTTATTGTCCAGCAGGGGGAGACTTCTGATCATTGTTGAATCACCTGAGCAGCGCAGAGCCTGGGGTTCAGTCTGGTTGGAACTGCACTCAATACCCATGGAGAAATGTTTGGTTTTAAATCAGTATTACCTCTCAGTCTTCTGCTGCTGCTATACGTTCATGCTGTATGCCTAAATACACTCCCCCAATGCAAATTGATAACTTCACAGGCTTGGACAAACATGTAAGAGGTGTTGGTCGGTCACCCCTCTCGTATTCACTAAATCAATCAATCAGTCAATATTTCATTATATAGCCCACTGTCACAATGACATATTTGTGTCAGTATGTTTGACAGTGGGTACATATGACACCCCTCGCTACACACAAGGAAACACTCTCAAAGAAACCCCCAAATTAACGTGAAAAAATATATATGTATAAACCTTGTAGAGAGCAACAGCGGAGGGATCCCTCTGCCAGGACGAAGAGATGTGGAATAGATGTCATGTGTATTGATTTAAAAGATACATTTACAACAAAGAATACTAAATGAAAACAAATGTAAAGTGAACGTATATACAAGTTGGATCCAGGTGGACGCAACAATCCTCCAGGTGGTGTCAAAAAAAGTAACATGGACGTCAGGCACATTATCCTCAACCCGTTTTTCTAATATACACTAATACTTGTGTAAATGTCCTTTTATTTTCTGCAGGAGCAGCTGATGTTACGATGGTTTATTCACCAAGGTACTCCCAGTGCATGATATTTTTAGGTGGGCCATGCTGCGAAAATGTCCCTGTGGATTTCCAACTCAAACCCCCCAACGGGTGCTCAGCGAGTGTGTGCGTGTGTGCGTGTGTGTGTGTTGAATTGTTTGTTTGTGTGCACTTCCTGAGATCCACCTGTGCTTGTCCACGACAGTTTTCAATCAATCAATCAATCAATGTTTATTTATATAGCCCAATATCACAAATGTTACATTTGTCTCAGTGGACTTCACAGTTTGTACAGACAGTATGACAATACGACACCCTTTGTCCTTAGACCCTCACATCGTAAAAGGAAAAACTTCCAGAGAAAAACCCCACAGTTTAAAGGGGAAAATGGGAGAAACCTCAGGGAGAGCAACAGAGGAGGGATCCCTCTCCCAGGACGGACAGACGTGCAATAGATGCCGTGTGTAAATCGAAGAGATAATA